CTAGCCAACCTGGCAGGGAGGCTTGTCTGCCCTCCTTCTGCCAAGACTGGCTAGTCGAACATGAGCTCCTGAACGATTAGAAGGGAGTGCAGAGCCACAGCAGCAGCGGATAGGCCACCTCATTATGTCTACCTATGCAGGGGTATTGATATTTGTATATGAATATGAATACCCCCATGCCGCAGCAGCAGCGGATGGGCCACCTCATTATGTCCACCTATGCGGGGGTATTCATATTTGTATACGAATGCCCCCATCTCTAATGATTATACCACAGTCTAAATAACACATGCAATGAGTTCCAGTGTAGAGTCTCAAAACATTGCTTGATATCAGCTCCCATAACGTTTGCTGAGTCTGGAATGATCCGAATAGTAGTCTTACAACACTTTGAGACATCAGACTTGAAAGCACAGCAATAGAGCATTCAATTTCTATCTGCTACTTGATCTACTGTAGCTTGTACTCTGAGCTATGGTTATGTGAATGCCAGCACTGAGAAGGTGCATATGCACATTCATGATTATGAACACGCAGAGCGGACCAGTATCAGTGGGGCAGGGAATCTATTCCAGGTTTTACATCAGACTTTGAAGGAACTATTCAAAGTGATGAACCTATTTTGGGACTTGCGTTCAGCTCTTAAAATCACTCCTGTAACGTTCAGAAGAAATTCTGGAATGGATTTGCTGCCTTGCTGACACTGGCATCACCTGACTCCACCATGAACGCATTTGAAAAATCTGTAGAATGTTATTTTAATTCCTGGGGGTGGGGTGTTAGTCGATATTACTGTGGGAAGGAGGATTCATTGTCTTCAGTTAACAACACGGTCATGCTATTAAATCTATGAAAGGTTTCGTCTTCCCTTCACAACAGGAAGCAAGTAATGCAAAAGTACACATTTTGCCTTTTTAGAAGCCGTTTCACCTCATCCTCTCTTTCCTGAGAGGTGTATCTCTGCAAAGCATTCATCTCCTGCAGAGCTAAACAGTGAACTAGGTTTCTTCAAAAGGCCAAGTCTATGTGAAGTCCTCCATTTTTTTCTGAAGAGAACAAATGCTTCAGTTCTGAGCAGTTTTATTCAAGGGTGCCTTTGACTGCAAAAGAAAGAATGTTCCATGGTGCAGGCAGATTACCCCCCCCCAAAGTAAAGAGATGGTGTCACTTTCTGACAGTGGGAAGACAAGACCTAAATATCTTCTTCTTCTTCTTCTTTTTGTATCTAGGCTCCAATGTTCGCTTTTTAACTCAGGATGGCAATTGGTAATGGGATGCCTGTTCTTCCCCAAACCTATGGAAGCCCATGTTATCCATTAGAGGGAATGGCTGGTCATCCTGGGCTATCTCCCCACCCCCCGATGATGCATAATCCTGGCAATTTTACTTTTTCAGAAAGCCTTTTCCTGCACCCCTCCAAGCTCCTTCAGGGTAGCCTGAAACTTATTCTTGAGATGTGGGTCTAGCATTTGCTGCCTCTCACCTCTTGCTATTTGCCCATCTACCTCCCTGCTTCTCTGGGCTGAGCTTCTGCCTTCTGATGACTGTTCTTCCTCCAGCAAGCAGAAACCGAGCCTTTTCTTTCTAATCTACAGGAGTAAATGGGACTTTAAATATTAGGAATTATTATTACTATTTCTGAATAAGTGGTGCCCCGCTTGACGATGAAATCGCTTGATGAGTTTTTTTGCAATTGCTATTGCAATCGCAAAACGATGGTTCCAATGGGTTTTTTTCACATTACGTTGATTAGGAGCCTGCTTCGCGAACCATTTGTTCACTAAACGATGATTTTTCCGGTTCCACAAAATGGCTTCCCTCCCTTTGCAAAATGGCTGCTTTCCGGACCCCTGCTTCGGAAGACAGCGATTTTAAACAGCTGATCGGCAGTTCTCTATGGGCGATCTTCGCTAGACGATGAGGTATTTCCCCATTGGAATGCACTGACCGGTTTTCAATGCATTCCAATGGGGTTTTTTTGCTTGACGACGATTTCGCTTAACAGGGATTTTCCTGGAATGGATTATCGTCGTCAAGCGGGGCACCACTGTATCCCTATTTGAAACTATACTTTGGCTGCATGTCTCTGTTTTTGGTTTAGGAAGCCAGAAATGCATGCCTCTCTCTCACCCTCCTGTTGCACCGGCTTTCATACAGAGATCCTATTTGCATTAAGCCCACATGAACTACAGAATTCTTAACTTAGTGTGTAGTCCTATCCAGTCATGTCTTAAAACCAGCTCAGCTTACAGAAAGCTAGATGAAGCTATGTTGAAACCAAATACCTCCCCAGCCTACAAGTGCTGGGAAATGACTTAATGCCTACCCTTGCCTGGCCTGTATGTCAGGGCAGTGGCTGTGCCCCCAGGAAGCAGGCATTGATTGATCTAGCATAATGCTCCACCCTGTTTCTCTTCTTCCTCTTTCGTTCTTTTTCAGGCAGTTCTTAGCCTACAAAGCAGTGATGCTAGAAGATTTCTGAGGTCAGCCAGCAGAAGGTAGTTCTTCCAACACAAAATCAATTTTGGCACTTTAAAGTGATCTCGTATGAAGAGGAGATATTACTCTTCTAAATCTCATACAACCAACATTTCTGAGTTAGGATTGTATTGCTAATGCTAGTTACAACCCAGAACGTTAAGTGAACATCTTATCATTATCCTGGACAGGGCTCATTATCCTACTTTAATAATGTTTTAAGTTAGAGCTGTCCAATTCAGACACAGCACAGAACTCTATCTGAAAGCAAAATGGGATTTCCACAGCAAAGCCAGGTTGTGATGGGAGAAGGACACTGTTTGCCTTCACAAATAGTGATTTGTAAAACTATGGGTGAAGCCTGAACAATCTCTGATTTAAATATAACCATGGTTAGTGTTGAACATTGTGAAAGAGGGATGGCTTGTAGACAAAGGGCCTTCTCGGCAGTTGCCCCCAGACTATGGAACGCCCTCCCGACTGAAATTCGTCTGACGCCGACACTGATGATATTTTGGCGCCAGGTCAAAACCTTCCTGTTCCAGAAGGCTCTTAATTGAAATAACATCAACTGTGGGTCTTGATGATGGCAATTTTAATTGTATTTTAATTGTATTTTAACTGTATTTTAATCATTTTATATTTTATTGTATTGAATTTTAATTGTTGTAAGCCGCCCAGAGACCTTTGGGTAGAGTGGGCGGCATATAAATAAAATAAGTAAAATAAATAATAAATAAATCTTTAGATGGTATTGCTACTAGTTACATTGAAGTGAGAATCTCCTGTACTTCCTAGTTAACATACAATCATTTGAACAGATGAGGGGCATGAAAGTTGAAGTTGAATGTAGTACACAAACGTATTTGTTCTCTCTTGGTTTGTTTGCTTGTTCTTTCTATAAACACTAGCAACATGCTCATAGAGTATATAATAAACTTGGTGTTAGATTTTTTCCGCAAACATACAATTCACATCAGCAGCCCTCCTAACCAAGTTGTTTCACATCCATTTACATGGTCAACGACACTGAGAAAAATTTAAATTGCTCTTTTCATGAGTAATGTGATATCTCACATAGTTTTGTCTAGAGGAAAAGAAAACTGTAGAGAGCTAATTATTTTTATGGAGCATTCAGAACAAAATCATAATCTTAACAAGTTCCCAAGTGATCACTTTAAAACAGTGGCAGGAAACTTTTCTGAAAATACTGTTCCAGCTGTCAAACGGTTTGAGAAATGAAGGTGAAACACTTAAATTTATTTAGTGCTTTTAAAATTACTTATGTGCTGTTGAGACTATGATGCATCAAGGAGCAGAGGCTAATCTCTAGTAAGGGATCTCCCAGTTAGACTGAAAGGCTACGATACATTTGTAAAAGTCGAGAGTGAAACATAAATTAATACTAACAGCAGAATGAAAATTCCAATGGCATACTTTCATGTCAGATTTCCTTATGTTTATCTATGCTGATGCCTTGGATACTTAGTTTGCAAGATGCGAAGAAGTAACTAAATGCTTGGACCAGATTTCTGTTGGGAGAAATACTGTTTGCACTACTGCCCTTCTAATCTGTGTGTTACACACTCAGGTCCGTATTGGGAAAGGGAAACACGACATGTTACAGAGAGAGAGAGACAGAAAAAACTCATAGTAGTCCTAGTAGAGCTTTCAAGGTAAGTGAGATACCGTATTGGGAAAGGGAAGCACTACATGTTACAGAGAGAGAGGCAGAAAAAACTCATAGTAGTCCTAGTACAGCTTTCAAGGTAAGTGAGATATTTGAGGAATGCTTTGTACAACTCAGCACCCTATCCTGGCGAGTGCCCATGGTGGAGCAGGGATTCAAATCTAGGTCTCCTGAGTTCTAATCTGTCAATCTGTCTAGCACACCATATGGGGTTCTGTCATTGTTGGTGGTGGTTTATGTGTGTGTCTGCGTGTGTGCGCATGCGCGCTTCTTCCTTACACTACTCCTGTGGCTAATCCCTGGGGTGGGCGAAGTACTGGTTCCTTGTATGCCACCCCATGCTTGCCTATCCAGAACTAAAGGATGGCTAGCAACACTTAGTAAAGGGAATGCCACCAGTCCAGTGATGTCATCAGCCCATGCTTGGCGCTCCACATTCTCCAGTTGTGCAGATCCTGCCCACCTCCTCCTTAGCTGCAGCACAAGTGGCATTGTAGGCAGTGTATTCCATCCTCCCCCACATGTAACAGTTACAATATTAAGTACATGCCCTGCTCCCGCTGGTAAAATTATTTGTGCATCTTTCCCATTCTGCAAAACACAACAACGGAGAATTAAGATATTGACCGGTGGCTAAAGAAGCACAAGACAAACTCACTAACGTCTAACTAGAAGCTACTGAATGTATGCTATTTACCTTCCACGTGTATAACAAAACAGCAGGATTTCAGGTAATGTTTGAAATATAGCACACACATTAAGTTATATTGTTTAAACCATCTTTGCATTAACTTTCACAAAGTAGATTGGGATGATAGGCAAAATAGCTTACCGGCAGATGATTAAGTGGCACATCCACTTGACCCAGAAAGTCGTCTCTGGTCTGTTAATGAAACAGATGAGAGAGAAATTAAAATGATTAGCTTATTGCATCCACTATGCTGTTGACATGGAATAGTGCTAATTTCTGCAACAACTTCAAAATTTGTTTCTAACTGCTGCATAACCCCAAAGTCTCTTAAAGAGTTGGTGTTTTGTGTTTTTTATGAAATTCAAGTTAGTTTTAATAGTGCTTCAGTCTTCATGCAAGTTGAAATTATATATAATAGTCCCAACAAAACTAATGCTAACTTCAAAAGTTCTAGAACTATACTTTTTTTAATCCCAAAGGAAGCAGACGTAAGAGCTGCACATCTAAATCTCACATCTGGAGAAGATGACATTCGTAATTTTATACTCCTCCATTTGAAATTTTTAACTTTCTAAGATGACCTTTAGTAAGAAATGGAAGGAGGAAAACACCAGGATTTTTCATGCCAAGCCAGGGTATTTCCAGTGACTGCAATATGTTTGTAATATTGGAAAAAAACAAGTTACCCCAATGAAGAATTATAGAATCTTCAGGCTCACACAGAATTCTAGAACATACGGTCTCTTCTACTTAGTGATCAATATTCTATTCTATGCTTATGCAAAGGGAGAACTCCAACTCCAACTGTGCAAGTTGTCACAACTGAGGTCATAAGCTGACAATTCTGTGCCTAGCTACACACGACTGGCATGTGGTTAAACTGCCACAGCAGCTTCTGTATTCAACAGGGGTACTGCAACTGTGACAGACAGAAAGAAGCCATACATGCAAACACAGAGTAATTTCTCCAGGGAAATAAACGAAGAAGTGACTGGACATGAAGTCATTATTTGTGCCAATTAAGAACACAGGAAACTATCTCCAGCTGAGTCAGACCTTTGACCTAGCCAGCTTAATATTATTCGTTCTGGCTGGCTGCAGATCTTTCTGACCAAAGTCCCTGGAGATGCCATGGATTGAACTTGGACCTTCTGTATATAGCAAGGCCCCTGAATACAGCTCTTTTGTGTCTGTGGACGGGCGTATATGCATTAGGATAAAGGTGAACAGGAAAAAAAGAACATCTACGAGGCAAGAATTTCTCCCAGCAGTCAATATAAGAGGGACAAACACTGTGCATGCTATGACTCTCACAGATATTATAAAGCACATCTGCCCTCTCCTCATTTATATCTGCAATCTTCACAGCATAAACACTGAATTAAGAGGACTGCCTTTAGCCTCTCAAAACAAGAGTTGACAATATAATTAAGTCTATAATTGAAGATTTAGTTAAAATAAAGAATCATGGATTTACTTTTAACCACAAGGCATTATTTTAGTTCTTTTTTGAAAAACCAAATCCAGGACTATGAAGGTTTGCAATAGAGGCATGGGGAATTCTGGGAAATGTTGTCCAAAAACACGACTCTGCATCCCTTTAATCCAGTGCTTCCAAACCTTGGTTCCTCAGATGTAATGGGGAATTCTGGGAGATGTTGTCGTCCAAAAACACGACTCTGCATCCCTTTAGTTCAGTGCTTCCAAACCTTGGTTCCGTAGATGTTCTTAGACTACAACTCCCAGAAATCCTGCCCAGCACAGAACATCTGGAGACCCAAGGTTGGGAACCATTGCTCTAGTCTGTAAGACTTTCTGACTTCTGTACTGCAGTTCACAAACTATGAATCTCAGTGCTACAGATATAACCTCTTGATCAAAGGTTTCTAAAGTGTCCAGTTAATAGTTATTATGTTCACACCCAAAGCAAATCATTATTCAGTAGGAAATAAAAGGCAAACATTGCTGTCATCTGAAATAAATATTCCATCAAAATGAGAGAGGAGGGAATGTTTGATACACTGGCCAAAATCCTGTTGCTTAACATAGTAAATCACACTAGAGTAGGCCCACGGAATCAATAGGGATTTGATGGGTCCACTCCTCCATAAACTGCATTAATTCAAATGGGCCTACTCTAAAGTTAAGTCACAGTAGGCCCATCTGAATCAATGGAAATTATGAAGGCACTGAGTCACCAAATCCTTGTTGATTCATTGGTCCTTTTCTTGTGTGATTTACTATGTTAAGCAACAAGATTTTGGCCACTGGTTTTAGGTGCTCTAAACACCTAAATTATGTCTTTGAGCACTTCGTACTCTATGCAAGAATAAAATTGTATGGATTGATGGCTTTAGATTTAACTTAATTAAGCAATGAATAACAAAATTTGTTAGATAATTTATTGCACAGCAATAAATCCTCTCATTTTAATAAAGTATGAAATTCATTTCTTTACTCAATTGTGTATGGCTAGAAACCGAAGAGTCATTCAAGTACTGTAGTTCTATATGCCAAGCAGACTTCTTCGTCTGTGCAGGATTCAAAGCTACACTTCTTGAACCCTGCACAGCAAAGGCATCTGAAACTAATAACGTTGAAAAGCAGTTATACTTTACTGTGATATGCACTTTTCGTAAAGAAAAACATAAATCATCTTCCTCCTACACCAGTGTAAGGCGTGGGGTTACTATACGTTGTTCTTTGGATCCTAGCCCACGTGGTTAAAGTCATGCAGACCAGCAGATATTGGAAGCCTCTGAACATATGAGATTACCTCTCTTTTTGCAAACTCTATTGAGGTTCCAACTAGAGTAGATGCTTTGGTAAATGTTTTCCCACAAAGTCTACATGTTAGATACTTAATCACTTAAACATATCACTGAAATTCTGTTAGAAAATGAAAACTGATATTATTAAACCTCTGAAGGCTATCAGAACAACTGAAACCAACTCTTTATCATAACTGTATTCCCTGACATGTTTAAATAAACAACAAATCCAAATGAACAGCATTCAGAATATTAGTTTTCTTTTTCATTATCAAAATACCGATTTTCCTTCAATTTGAAATGATAGAAATGTGCAAAGAAAGGCCGATTTGCACATAATTTTAGTGAAAGTTGTTATAGAAAAGTGTACACACAGAAGCTATATTATGCAAAAATTACAAGGGGAAAAACTTAGACTTGAATGACAATAAAATATATCACCTACATTAAAAAGAGACTATTCAGCCATTTTAAAACATAAAAAACCCTCATTAAATGTCATGAAAAAACAGAAAAACATAAAAAACCCATTTGATGTCATGAAAGCCATCATATAAAAAAAAGAAAAGGGAAAATAATAATAATAATAATCTTCAAACTATACACTTTTTCAAACAACCATATTTGCAATTAAAGAAATACCACTGCGGCTATAACCTGTTTCTATATTCCCACATCTCAATAAATTAACAGGACACTGACTGAGCAGAGAGGGGTTCCAGATCAGAAAAAGGAGACATCTCCCCCCCTCAAATTTGGGGGGCAGGTGGCTCCTTGTCCAGTTCCAAAATCCCCACCATGTGGCTGAGAAAAAAAAGATGCAATTTTGCATAATAGGATGCGGAAATGAGCATATTCATACTGAAAACAGAAAAGCATATTCCAGTCTTGATTACTTGGCATTCTTGGATTGGAGCAACTCTCCCAAACTTTTGTTTTTGCTAAAATACAAGGCTCAACTGCATTTCTAATTCCGTTCAGTTCAACACCCAGATTTCCACCTAAATCTATTTGCTTGCTTAGCCACCACCAAACTGTTAAGCTATCTGGCTGATACAATGGCTTCTCCCTTCAAAAGGGTCTTGATAACAGTGACTCTGAAACTGCTTTAGTAAGTTTATGGCTCTTGACATGGCTCTTGACATCTGGTGATCTAGATCAAAGAAAAAGCTGTATTCTCCCCTCAGTTTTGAAGAGCTATATTAACTCTCAGGGATCAAGTGAGTAAACTTTCCTGTTGAATGAAGGAACGTCATCATTTTCTATTATGAATGTAGCCACTCTGAGCCACAATGCAAGAGGAAACATGAAACTTAACCAGAGACAGAAGTACACACTCCTTCCAACCTCCTTAAATTGTTGTTGCTATGATCTATTCAACTTACAACTGGCTTACTTCCACCCTACTTACCCTTCCCAGATTCCTTTATTACTTTCAGAACTTCTAGTTTCTCTATCAGTTATCTCTTCCAGTTGCCCTAGTTATCAAGTTGTGACAGGTTTTATACCCTGGTGATGCAATGGGCTAGTCTACACTCAAGAACAATTTCATATTGTTGCTCCTCTTCTATTGGAGACTGGTCTTCATTATTGCTCTTCTGACTTTGGACACAATGCTGTTTTGTTGCTTCCAAACCAGCCTCCTAGGTTTGTTAGACAAAAAGTTTTTTCCTTTCCTGCATTTCACTCCCATTTATTTTATCCCGGATGATCAGCTGATCAACAACAACTAGGCCGTCCTTTCTCTCAGCCCTCCTCTTGAGTACTACAATCTTTACATGTGGGTCTGGTAGTGAGTTTAGTGACATTCTTGCTCACCTGATAGGTGCATCCTTGCATAATAAGTTCTAAATATAGAATTCATATATCTTGTGTTTATGCAAATACTTCCTCTGCTTAGCAACATTGAGAATGTTGTAATACCCTGTAATACCTCAGTTCCAATCATGCTCGCCACTGTCAAAGCTCCGAGGCCCCAAGACAAGCAAGTGACAGACAGCGGGGAGGATGGGCAAGACATGTGGATTCACAGAGTACCACTCAAAGAACCATGGTTACAGGTAAGTAACCTCTCGTTCTTCTTCATGGTCTCTGTGAATGCACATGAATGGGTGACTAGCAAGCTAACTCACTGGATGTAGGGCTGTCACGCCAACATCGAAGTCAGCACAGCCCTGCCAAAACTCACCTCCTTTTTGGCCCTGACATCTTGACGATAGTGTGTGACAAAAGTCGAAGGCATAGACCAGGTGGCCACTTGACAGATGTCAGAAACCTCAATACCATGCAGCAAGGCAGTAGAGGTGGCCATCGCTCTCGCAGAGTGGGCTTTCAGCACCTCTGGCGGAGTCTTCCCGCCAATCCGTATGCCAGGGTAATAGCACCTGTGATCCACTTTGATATAGCCTGTGAAGAGGCAGG